TAGAAGTCAGGATAACAACACAAAGTATTAATACAAAATATTACATTATGACCTAGGGTTATCTATAACAAGTACTTCAGATTCATTTGAAGTTGTATACATGAAAGCAGATTATTCTATGTTACCTGGTTCATTATTTGAAAAAAGTAGACTCAATATATCTGTTATGTTAAAGTTTTCAAAATTATTTTTTAAGGAAAGAGAATTAAATAGGGAGTGCCTTACATTTGAATATTTATCCCAATTGCGTGGATTGATGCCCATGATATCAATCACTGGATTGTCTGGTCGGGACTCAAGAACAATCAAAACATCAATTGACAAAGATAGTGATTCACAAGAAGCAAGAATGATTGTTAGAGAAAGAAACACAGAGTGATTTTCTTTTTCTGATGGTACTGGAGAGGGAGAGTGATTTTCTTTATCTGATGGTACATGAAGGGAGGAGGTGGCCAATGTGTGTGTTGGGGGGGGGTTGGTAATGTTTGTTTCTTTGTGGTTTAACGCCGCACTCAGCAATATTCCAGCTATTTGACAGTGTTCTGTAAATAATCGAGTCTGGACCAGACGATCCAGTGATTTACATCATGAGCATCAATCCACGCAATTGGGATACGATGACATGCATCAATCAAGTCAGCAAGCCTGACCACCCGATCCCGTTAGTCACCTCTTACGACAAGCAGAGTCACCTTTTACAGCAAGCATGGGTTGCTGAAGACCTATTCTACCCCGGATCTCCACGGGGCTGTGTGGTTGTGAGGTGTGTGGGCCTTGCATTGTTTGATGGGATTGTGTTTTCAATAAAGTCAACATTTTTCATGAAATCTAATAATTCATTTATTATGCTAACAACTGATCATGATAACACTTCGGCTCAGATATAATGTCCTAATGTTGATTGATTACACAACACCAGACAAGATGGCTGACACGTATATGCGTTTTGCCCACTCACACAAAATCATAATGTCAACAAATACTGCCCCCGCTGTTAATTATTCTGTGCAGATATGGAGACATTTGAATACAAGCACAACACAGTTCGAAACATTAGAATACTGCTGCATTCATGCAAATATGATTACCGACGTTAACAATGATTAGACAATTAATTCTGGATGTGTACTCACCGAAAAAGACAAACTAACGGAATGAACCCAATACAGGCGTCAGACCTGCTGTCTTAGCTATTCCACTTGGGAATTTAATTTGGGCTCGGAAATCGCAGCGCACAATACTGAAAGAATAATGAATATTTATCATACAATCTGTGCAGGCTAGGCCTACATCGCAACACGTTTTCAATAAATAACATATTGAGCTAATCAAGGGCTTGGCAGTTTAGGGTTAAAACATGGTATTGAGGAGAGTTAGGAATTTCCCTTTCTATCCTGGGTTGTGGCCCCACGAGGGGAAGCTTTTAAACTGCGGCTTGTGAAAACAGATCGAAACAGACCCGGGGACTGTGTGAATGTATATCTTGGCATATCAAGGCAAGGAATATGTAGTTTCGGGAAATGACTCTACTTGAGGGAGTTCTTGTACTTGGGGGCCTCCTGTCAAGAATTGCTCGAGCTTCTTTTTTGTCCCTCGTAGGTTTTCTTCTCTTTCTTCTCACACCATTTTTTGGACATCGTGTTAAATTTGACATAACGTCATACAATTTTTATAAATGACTTTTTTTTCTTGTGTTTAAAATCAAATTTTTCTTTTTCAAGCTGTGGGAAATTTAGTTGTGACTGGTTAAAAATTAATGGTATGAACTAATATATTTTTAATTGAATTTGAAAAATTGAAATTTTATGTTATATGACTTTCATGTGGCGGGATGATGATTAGGTGTCATTTGTGAAGTCCCCATGAACGTGATATTTAATTCAATTTCAGTATTGATTTTTTTGGAAAATGAAATTGAAACGAAGGAAAAACTCCAAATTTTCAAAACGAGCCATTTTTGCCACAAGCTCATACTTTGGGTGTACGTCTAATCTTTTTAAGGCACAGCAGAAAATCCAATGTAATTGTGTTTCCCATTTATTATAGCAAAGAGACATGTTTATTTCCGTGTTTGATATTAACCAGACTCTGTAGCATCAGGGTTAGGAGAAATCCTATAATGGAAAACCTCTGTTTCTATCCCTGTTGCTAATATCACAGGCAATGGGTCAGTACCGGGGACCCCTCTTTTATCAATGTCGCTTTCCTTATTTGTACCCAGTTGAAAAAATTGGATGGCGCCAATCAGTTTGTCATTTTCTGCAAATTTCCGAAAGGTTTGGTCTTCATTAATGATAGATCAGGAGCAATAAGCTCTGGACAGACCAGATTTCTATGATCGTAATCTGTAATATTGAATTAGTGAGTACATTTTATTGTTGATATCTGTTAAAAGGATGCGAGAAAATTTTTGATTGAATTATCCCTGAATGTGAATTTGGATGAAGTAAGTTCTCGATCATCTAGTTTTTCAACTGTGTTTATGAGACATTTGTCTGGCCCTGTTCATGTGATTTGAGAGACTGAATTATCTTCATAAATCTCCTACTGTGATATGAAGGAGAGAACTGGATTTCATATGATGGAGAGATTTGCATCCTTGCCTGTATTGACTTGTGCATACATGCTTCAGGGTTTTGTGCAAGGGCTGTTTGTTATTCAGGCAGCGTGGTAGTTGAGTGGGTCGAGCGTTGGCTGAAGACCTGAGTTTGATTCCTAACTTGGTTATGCTAAAGCAGAAAGAAAGTTTGAAACCATTTTCCCCTGTTGATATATTCCTGAGAATACCGGTGAAACATTAAATCTACTCTCTCTGTCTCACTCACTCACTCACTCACTCACTCACTCACTCACTCACTCACTCACTCACACACTCACTCACCAGATTGAATTGCTGAAACAAGTTATATCCTTTCACTCCTGTAAAAGAGATATACCAACTTTCCTGATATACACAAGAACAAATAATATCATAAAACAAGCATATATCAATGGGTATTTGTCTTGTTGGAATAAATTATTTTCATTTATTTGCTTATTTTCAATCAACTTGTTTATCTGTGTGAATTGGAATGCAATACACAAGAATAAGTCTATGATATTCCAGTACCAGTGATGAATCAGCTTGTCCCACTTTTGTCAAGGGCAATGGAATTTTTTTTAACCAAGCCTTGACTACATACAGCCCTCTATACATCAAACAATCGAATGAGAAAACAGTATTCAATCAAATCCAATGGGAAAATGTCAGATAATCCTAGCAAATTGGTATTAGTATTCTTTGATCTCCAAATAAAAGCCTTCACAATTAATTATAGTGTAGTGCCTGTTTTGTCTCAATATTTCCTCTTCTCGTCCTACGAATGAGACAAGGCTTTATCAGACGGTCATCCTACCAATAGCCTTCCAGTATATCAGGCCCCGATGAATAATACAGGCTCTGATGAATGCGATAACACCTCGTGTCCATGGGAAGTCGCTCAACAGGTTGATATGTATCAGAAGGGCTTGATAAGGGGCCAGTGGGGGCCAATTTCCCTTGGCTATAACCTTTGCCAGTGATAAGGGTTCCCCTGAGAAATCTGGACTTTTAGGACTTGTGGCAAATCATGTCCATTAGTTGTAGTGAGTATTCGTGACGGCCCATGGTCTATTGGTGAAGCAATGGTGGGGATCTGGGCCCTGTTCCACAAAGCTATCTTAGTGCTATGACTGTCGTAAGCCTATGTTAAAGTATGGGAGTTACGATCATCTTAGCGCTAAGATCGTTTTGTGGAACGGGGCCCAGGCTTGCACCCAGCACCTTTTCAAAGCAGGCATCCAGATTTTTAATGGCGGTTAACTCCTTTAGTTTCCTTGAAGATGGGATGTGGGATTTGATTTTTGTTTGTGTGTTTGTTGTTTAAAGCCACACTCAATATTCCAGCTAAATGACAGCGGTCTGTAAATAATCCAGTCTGTGCCAAACAATCCAGTGATTGATGTCATGAGCATAAATTCATGCAATTGTGATATGAGGACATGCAATCAGTCAAGTATATGAGCTTGACCATCTGATCCATTTAGTTGCCTTTTATGACAAATATAAATTGCTGAGGACCTATATTCTTACCCAGAATCCCCACGGTTGGTTTCTTTCCTATTTCAGTTTCAATAACATATCAATGTCTGATTCAAAATTGTCAGTGTTAGTGCAGCAGTTGCATTTTCAGGCAGTCGGCCAGAAAGGAATACATTAGCCATGTTTGGTACCAGACACGTACCAGGATAGAGCGCAAGCACCTATTTTGGACACTGCCAGTAATATTTGATGGTCATTTTGTTGAAAATATACATTAATGTGGTGTTTTATGATGGTGTTGGTGTGATGTCACGAGAGCACATTTCAGACATTGTCCTGTCTCGAAGATATTACAAATAGTTGCTGGCTTTCAACAGATAACCTACATTAACATCGAGGCTCTGAAATTAACATATTTTACAGTTGTAAAACAGTTGTTAAATTATAGTTATAAACATATAATAATAATGAGCCCAGAGACTCTCTTCATTTTCAGATGATACTGAAGTAATCTAGACTTGCCACATATCATAGACTTGCATGGGCTGTGTTTTCTTTGTCCATATTGAGTTCATAGTTCGGGTTCTCATTAGATGGCCCTGCTGGCCTGTAGATCGCTTCGTCTGAAACCCACCCCTGTGGTAGGGAACCTACAAAAGAACTTGAATACCAGATCATCCTGGGATCGTTTTGTACACTCACTCACTCACTCACTCACTCACTCACTCACTCACTCACTCACTCACTCACTCACTCACCCACTCACTCACTGAATGCACTCACTCACTCACTCACTCACTCACTCACTCACTCACTCACTCACCCACCCACCCACCCACCCACTCACCCACTCACTCACTGAATGCACCTTGATACATCCGTATATTGAAGTAGAAGAATTGTACCAATCGCCAAGTTACATGTTAACTTCTCTTTACAGATGGTGTTCAACCGCACCGTGACATTGAAGGAAGACCCAGGCAAGAACTAGACAGTCACAAATGGCAAACCGCCCTGACCAGGTCATCTTCTGTCACAGACAGGTCATCTCCTCTGTCCACTCAACAATTGTCAGGGCCAGCACAGCAGCCGGCACTTACTGCCACAGCAGATGCTAGTTATTACACAGAAGCAGACGACACTTTTGTCTGAGGCAGACGCCAAATTTAGGTTGAACAACCTACGATTTGATGCATCAGCTATAGCCGGCTGTTAACATGTATATTTAATGTGTTATTAACGCCCTGGTATAGTATTAGTATTTACAGTGTGAGTCCATCATGATAATTTGTAAATCATTTTATGTGACATCTTTCTTCTTGTAAATTATTACATTCAGATTATTTGTCTATGCTCATCCAACACATGTAAAGAATATTTTTTCAGACATTTTATAACTGAATACACAAAAGACAATATTTGGGTAAGTCATGAAATTAATCGTTCTTTGGGCACATTTTGGTTATTGTTAACTTGGTGATCGGATTAAAAGAAATTGTAAATGACTCCGGGGCATTTCATTGGCTGACCTAGCAAATATTTCCTTTAGCATTTTTGTCCATAAACTGAAAAAATAAGACAATATGTTAATTCTTATAATTGTACTAAACAGTGTGCACACTTAGCATAAAACTGCTGTGCTGTGTTTAAAAAATGTGTACCAAGTTTTTACGTTTATACTTCCATATGTACAATTAGGATATTTTCAAGAACACTGGACAATTTCCTCTATGCAAAAGTCTCATGTAAATCAATTGCTATGCATTTTTGAATTCAAATAGAATCTCTCTGCAAAACTGTTCGAGTCTAATGCAGGCAACTCCCCCAAAATTGCCGGTGTCAAAACAAAATCCAAAGGTTGCTAATGTTCTTGTTGAGTATATACATCGTATACATAAAATATCATGAAGTATTTCAAAATTCAACAAATATATGTTTGTACAAGTGAATCCGATACTTAAATGGCTTCGTTCTTAACAAAATCAAGGTTTCCTTTGCTGATGTTAAGTAAACAGTGTTTGAAATTAAGAATAACTATCAATGGGTATTTGTCATAATGCATTAAATGTAAATTTTTGAAAAAGAAGCCCCCCTTTTACTGAAAAATAATGATGTATGCCTTCCATTGTAAGGAAAAACATTATGTGCCCATTTTATTGCAGACAAGTGTCTAAGGAATACAGTTGCTAACTTTTATTTATTAAAACAAGCTGAAACATTTGAACACCAGTTCCTGTTGAAAAAAATAATTTATCTCCTAAACATTACACAATAATATTCTGATATCAATCCAAAATCCCGGCGGCCCCATGTATGTTCTAACTTACCCGATGTATCGGATTTACATCTTTGTATCTTTAATTGAACAGGAAACAAATATTTCATCTGTCTAAGTTAAACATATATTTCATCAGTAATCGCAGCCACTTGTATGATTATGACTTGACACTCCTAGTGGATGTATACTCTGTAATGACAGTGCAGTCTGAGACAGTTTGTATTAACACCAGTCGGAGCAGACGCAGTCTCAGTTGGAAGCAGACGACACTTATTACATCTAGTTGTAGACGCTACATCACTGGGTGGAAGGGGATGCTGTAATTTAGCATCCTATCTGTTTAATATTTATGTCAGACTCCGCTGGTTATAACAAGTTGTTGAAATATCAAAACTGACATTTCAATCTAATTTTAATCTTCGGGGCAAGTCTTCTTCCTGTTATGAATAGGTAGAATTTTTTCAGAATTTCTTTGCTCAATTAAACGTGTGTATCATCCCACCTTCCCAATCGCTACTGAGTCAACATGTTCGGTGTGAATAAACGCTGTAATCAGTGCAATATCATGGAAGCATGACATGTTAGTAACCACGTGGACATTTGATACTGCTGGTGAAATGGTGATGAGTAATGCTCACTCTCCCACCTTCGGGCGGCCCAGTTGTCTAAGGCGCCGCGATTCGCTGTGCAGAGTTGCGTCCCTTAGGCACGCCAGAAACCTATGATTGTGGGTTCGAATCCCGGTTCGCCTCGATTATGTTTCTAGGTTTGTCAGCACCATACCCGTGCTCGTGGGTTTCACCGAAGCGGTAAACGTCTGAGACCTGCATCACTTCGGGCTTTCCTCCCACATTAAGCTGACACGCCGTGATATGACTGGAATAAGCGGCGTTAAATCCAACTCACTCACTCACCCACCTTCGGAGTTACGGAGGTGTATGTGCAGTGAGACCACAAACATTATAACTTGAGTATCAGACAAGCATTCACAAATCCAGAGCTTCAGATAACTTTTTGAGCTATTGAGTTTTAACTAGGTTATTACATTCATTACATTCATTGGGTAACCGATATTTTTTCACTCATCTATTCATCACTCTATTGGGTTTTTCCCAAATTATGTAAATGTTTTGAGATTTAAAAAAAAAGAAATAATCTTTTAGATGTATATAACGGTTCTAACTATAGGCTTGACTCGGAAAGTAAATTAGCTTGTAATTGTGTTCAGAAATTACCGGTAGCTCCGTTGTACATATGCTGAAAAAGCTTCATTGGGTATTTACGCGGGCTGTTTTCGAACAATTGAGTTTTCCATTTAGTGCATGCGTTTCTGTATGCAAGTTAATTGAATGTAATTGGGTTTTGAATAGCTTTGGGGGGTATTTTAAGCAAATACACTGGTTATCTGTAGATCTGCACATCACAAAAATTTGACATGATTTGAAAGTCGGAAATTTATAATCTGTTATTTTACTAACAGGAGCCTGTATTCAAAAGGTTTAACAATGCCCATAGTTTTTGAAATTCAAGATATGAGTGAATGCATTTTAAGCCTAAGTCTTAAAGATTATAGGTCCTTAGATTCAAGGACCAGAAGACCAAATTATTAACAGGGAATGGGGCAGTGGTTAAAGCATTTGCTCGTCACACCGAAGACCCAGGTTTGATTCCCCATGTGGCTACGATGTGTGAAGCCCAGCCTTGATATTGCTGGGATATTACTAAAAGTGAAACCACAATCATCCACTCTTACATGGAATACTTTGCCACAGTACATACAATACCCGGTCAGAAATATGTTTGATGTTATATGCAGGTGTAAGAAGAAGATGACATTTATGCATATTCCTGACTCGATCACCTCTTGAATGGCATCAGCAGCTTCCGTGTATATTGCAGTGTTTCTTCACATTGATGTGGTGGTACGGAGAAATAGCTCCCTACTGACAGTGTTCAGTAATTACTGTGCAAATACTCATTACAGAATAATCTAGATAGAGAAAATTGCTTTGTACCAATCTGATAATTTTCAGCATTACATATTATATATAATAACCAATACATACTGATAATATTGTATTTTACGTTTTTTGTATAATTTATTGATATATATTTCTATTTAGTGAGAGACTTTGATTTCTTAAGGGCCTACCATTTGATATTAAGGTTGGTAGGGTGGGGTGGTGGTGTCATAATTAATTTGTCCTTAGGATTGACCTCCCTAATTATATTGTTTGTTAGACATGCGGAATTTCATGTCTCTTATAAAAGGGGGCACGGGTGGCTCAGTTGTCTAAGGCACCCACGCCAGAAACCTATGATTGTGGGTTCAAATCCTGGTTCACTCCGATTATGTTTCTAGGTTTATCAGCACCATACCCGTGCTTATGTGTTTCACTAAAGTGGTAAACGTCTGAGACCTGCATCACTTAGGGCTTTCCTCCCACATTAAGCTGACACGCCTTGATATAACTTGAATATCGTTAAAAGCGGCGTTAAACCCAACTCACTCACTCGCGCTAATGAAAAATCCCAGCCTCCCAGAATATTAAATGTTGGGTCCCTATGATCCAGTGTACATGTAGGCTTCGTGTTTGTAGCTTTGGTTCAGGGGGGCCAGAAGTAACGGCTTCTGCTAGAACAGAACAAGTTAGGGGTAGTGGGGTAGGTTATTGTATTAGTATAGCATTATTGTCATGTGATGTAGTGGGACATGGTTAGTGCGATACGATGAATATTGTGATGGTTTGGGTGCAATGTGATACAGAGGCTTTGTATGGAAAATGAATAAATGAACAGAGGCCAAGGCAACATATGAATACGTCCTAGTTGATTGATCAACAATAAGACATTTGGGATAGCAGAAATACCAACTTAGACATACGCTGAAAACAAACAACTATGTATTCCACATCACTGTTTATTGAGCAGCACTTGTTTCAAGTATATAAACAATGTCATTCAAACATTTATTACATCCTGTGAATTGTCACTGCTGGGGTCAAGACAAGAGATCTACTCACTCATGTCATCACTGATCACACCTTCAAGTCCAGACAGACGCCACCCAACACGGTGTCTTTGCTCTTTGCGACTGCATCAAAGGCCGACACGAGCCAGCGCGCACATATTGTTTTAGCTCAAGTACTCTACTCAGCGCTAATAAGCGGTGCTATTTGGTAAGGTTGGATTGAGGTGAGGATTCACCTGTAAACCTGACTGAGGACATTTTGTTTAGACATAATCCACTGATGCTTGAGAGGAGGGGATGTAGTATTTTTGGCTAGGGGCCAGCGGTCGCATTCTTTTGGAGACGCATTAATTTCACATTTTACAGTATCTTAATCAGCTGCAAGATCAGTATGATCATTGTTACATCACTTGTTCGAATTACCGTCCATAAAATACTTGTCACACTGATAGTTTGCCAAACATATGTGTTATTGGTTTGTGAGTGATGATATACTGGTTACATCTATCATTAGGAGGTGTTTTGATTAACTGATTGTGATACTGTACCTGCTATTGACACGATGTAGCAAAGTACAGTGGCTGGCACAGTTGGCCCAGTCATGTAAAAGGCTGCCATTCACTGTGTCGACTTGCATCCCAGAATCTTGTCTGTCTTACAGACCCTGATACAAATATATATCAAATACAGCCCATGCAAGTCTATAATGTTTGGCAAGTCTAGATTACTGCATCTGAAAATGAAGAGAGTCACTGGGCTCCCTTTTATTATATTTTTATTAAGATAACTGAACAACTGTTTTTTTCTGTACAATATGTTCATTTCAGAGACTAGATGTTAGTCTAGCCAGAATCCTATGGTCATGGGTTTGCATTGTTTTGCCCTAGATGTGTTTCTAGGTTTGTCAGCACCATACCCATCCTTGTGTGTTTCACGGAAGTGGTAAGCATCACTTCTGGCTTTCTTCCCACATAAAGCTGACACATTTTGATATGACTGAAATAACTGAGGCCAAACTGATTCCGTTCCCAGTGAGGTGGCCTGGTTAGGGTGGCCTTGTTTTATGTGTGACATGTTGTTCCCGGTTCTGCCTTCTCACACCTGGCATGAACAATAAACTACCTGAATCTGATTGTGTCTCTGTCTTGTGTCTCAGGATGGTGAGTACGTGCTTTGGTGATGTGTAGAGGTGTGGGTGGTGTGTAGAGGTGTGGGTGATGTGTAGAGGTGTGGGTGATGTGTAGAGGTGTGGGTGATCTGTAGAGGTGTGGGTGATGTGTAGAGGTGTGGGTGATGGAATGGGTTGTGTGTAGAGGTGTGGGTGTGGGTGATGTGTAGAGGTGTGGGTGATCTGTAGAGGTGTGGGTGTTGTGTAGAGGTGTGGGTGATGTGTAGAGGTGTGGGTGATGTGTAGAGGTGTGGGTGATCTGTAGAGGTGTGGGTGATGTGTAGAGATGTGGGTGATGTGTAGAGGTGTGGGTGATGTGTAGAGGTGTGGGTGATGTGTAGAGGTGTGGGTGATGTGTAGAGGTGTGGGTGATGTGTAGAGGTGTGATGTGTAGAGGTGCGGGTGATCTGTAGAGGTGTGGGTGATGTGTAGAGATGTGGGTGATGTGTAGAGGTGTGGGTGATGTGTAGAGGTGTGGGTGATCTGTAGAGGTGTGGGTGATGTGTAGAGGTGTGGGTGATGTGTAGAGATGCGGGTGATGTGTAGAGGTGTGGGTGATGTGTAGAGGTGTGGGTGATCTGTAGAGGTGTGGGTGATGTGTAGAGGTGTGGGTGATGTGTAGAGGTGTGGGTGATCTGTAGAGGTGTGGGTGATGTGTAGAGGTGTGGGTGATGTGTAGAGGTGTGGGTGATGTGTAGAGGTGTGGGTGATGTGTAGAGGTGTGGGTGATCTGTAGAGGTGTGGGTGATCTGTAGAGGTGTGGGTGATGTGTAGAGATGTGGGTGATGTGTAGA